AAAAAAATTGAAGCTTAAAATGATTATAATAAATAATTATTAGCAAACTAAATTAAGAATAAACATCGTAGAGATTAGGTGTTCGTTTAGGTTGTATCCCGAGGGCTACGATTCTATAGTTAAATCTGGAAATAATAATCTAGGCAAATCGTATTTTCTCATTGAAGTTTAAGAGATATCGATAGGTAAGGACCGGAAAAATGCACTAAAAAATCTAAAAAAATACCCATTTTAATGCAATTCACTAAACGAAAAAATAGCTATTATTTATTTAAAAAGTGAATTGAAATAATGATTCTGAGGATCAAAAGTCAGTCTCTTGTATTTGACTAATCATCGCGTATTGATACAATCACATAAAGTTATTAATCTAATTATATATGCAAAATAATATGATCAAACGATATGATTGATTTGAGGACATTTAAAATTTAATTCAATTACTTTTGAGATTAAAACAATAAGATAAAACATCAATATTAATATCTTCAGACGAGTAATTGATGATTGTTGGAGATCAATTCGATTATTCTGTTGATTAAGTTGATTAGAGTAAAATGATAAAATTATTTACTACAGACCACTAAATGATCATCGTTGGAGATGAGCAATCTCTGTTGGCCACTAAATGATCAATCTATTATTGTAAGAACCTAAAATATTATTTGCTTACTTTTTCCGGCTATTAAATACTCACAAAAACTATGAACTTTGACATATTGATGATAACAAACTTATATACAGTCAGTTAGCTATACTTACGCGGGTTTCGGATTAACAAAATTATGCAAATTAGTCATTGACAACCAGTTCCGATAAGCTTCTTCCCAAGAAATTAGGTAAAATTGCCCTAATGGTCAGATTTAAATTAAAATAACATTAGGGTAGGTACTAAATTTGTTACAAATATTGTAGTTGAATTGATTCTTTGCAAGTGTTGACGTTCTATGTATATTGTAAATTTAGTGGAAATTTTAAAAATGCCTAGACGTGTGTTAGATGTAGATAGTCTAATTTGTAGTGTACATAAGTATTTTACGGATGAAAAAGAAAATGGCGGTCCTTTAAAATTGGTAATGTCTGTACAACAACGCGTAAGCGATGCTCTAGGAATTAGTGAAATCAAATTAAGAGGAGTATTACAAAATCACAATAAAAAAATGCCGAAAGAAGATCACCGCAAAACTCGCCCATCATTGAAAATGAAAGATATTCCAGATGGAAAGAAATTTGAAATTCGTGATACCATTTATCGAGGGCCAACAAGGAACATGTCACCTTAAATACAATTATCTCGGAATTAATAGATAGAAAATTTGACGGGCAGAACAAGTCTATGGCAAGTGATACATAACTTGGGTTTCAAATTTCAAAAGGAGGATAACAGAAAGACCCTTTGTGAAAGAAATTCTGTCGTGCACAAGAGAATTAACTTTCTAAGAAAATATTCTAAATTTAAAGAAGAAAGGGCGAATTTTATATATTTAAACGAAACATGGATATTTTCTAGGGGTGCAATCAAGAGAATATGGCAAGATGATAACGTAAAGTCCAGCAAACATACCGATGGAGAAGGGAAGCGACACATAATTTTACCTGCAGAAGGGAAATCGGGTTTTATAGAAGAAGGTGTTGATTTAATAATTTCATCTAAATCAAAATCCAGTGACTATCACGATGATATAAACAGAATTGTTTGTAAAATGGTTGCATGAAAAACTTCTCCTAGGTTTAAGTGAGCCCAGCGTAATTATTTTAGACAATGCACCTTACCATTCTGAAGTATTTAACAAAAGTCCAACGAATTCTTGGACTGTTGATAAAATTAAAGAATGGTTGACAAAGGAACATATACCATTTCCTCAATATATATTAAAATCAGAATTATTACTCTTGGCAAATATACACTCAAAACCAAAAACTTTTGTTGTGGATCAGATTATTGAAAGTTACGGTCATCAAGTTTTACATCTGCCACCGTATCATTTCCAGTTTAATCCCATCGAATATATATGGGGAATAGCAAAACAATATTATGACAACCATATTGGGCTTAATGGTTATAGTGATGACGCAGTTCGGGAAACTTGGCGAAAAGCACTTTCAATTGCAACTCCAGAAGTGTGGCGGAACTGTATATCCAAGTGCGAGAAACTAATAGAAGATTGATGGACTCGTGAAAATAAAATAAACGAAATAAGTTCAATCATAATAACAATTAATGGTGATGACAGTGATGATGGCGATTATGATATTTTGGATGATAATGACTGATGACTGATTTTTGTTGACAAGTTTAATTTTTTTGTTTTTCATTTGAAATTCTTTACATGGAACAAATTTTTATGTTAGAAAATATTTTATTTGACCTCTTATTATACATAGACCATATTTTATGTGTGAAGTGTAATATAAAATTATTATTAGGTTTATAATAGCCACATTAGACTCCATTAATGAAGAAGTTTAATTCTGCTCCCAATTATACAAAAGATTCTCCATTATTATTTAATTAAAAAGTTGTACATTATTTTTCATTTCATTTAACCAGTTGATATTTCCCCAAAAAGCAGGTCAAACTTTCGGGTACTTACCTAGAAATACTCATAAAATTTTTAATCCGAAACCTGCGTAAGTATAGCGAACAGACTGTACATTTATACATAACATATAATGGCCAAGAAACTAGGACTACATCACCCAAAGATGTCAGAATTATAACTGACTAAATCCAGAAAGATCTCTCGGAATGGAAAATTTTACGCGCGAAATTCAATTATTCTAGCATTGATTTAATAAAAAAAGTAATTGGTTTAATACAATTAGAAATGTATTTGATAACTGTGAACATCTATATAATATACACTTTCTGTTTATTATTTTGTCGAACAGGCATCTTTGTCCGAGCATATTTTAATTTATTGCATGGAAGATTCCTGTAAATAAAATATTATTATAATAATAAACAAGATATATTTATGAACAATCGTCATATATCTATGAATACCTTACCTGCCATCGCTGTTCAAATTTATTACTGAATTATCAACGATTTTTAAATAACTAAATGTATTAATTTGATTTGGTTAGAAAAAAAATAGTATATATCATACGGAGCATAATATACTTATCAATCAAAAATATTGAGGTAATTACTTCGAATTCTTCGGAGTCCAATCCTGCAACCGCATGGTCGTCGGACGTATGTTTGTCAGTTTTGGGCATGCGCAAGTATCGATTCGAACTGGCAACGGGGGTGTGTCCTATTTGTCTTTTGGCTCTGACTACTACGGCTCTCTTCACACATTCTGCACTCTAGACACATTATTTTTTTTAACTAACTTCGGTTGATCGGCTTGTGCTAATTTTATCTTTTGCATTTCGCCGCATCGTTTTAGGAATATTTACGCGATGCGATTTTCAAAAGGTATATACCTAGTGATAGGTAAATAAGATAGCATTGTTTTGTTTATTTAACATATCTGATGTTCAATATTTTTTCCTTTTCAATTCTTGATTGACAGATTTAATGAAATCCCTAATTGGTCTAGTCTACCTAAATCACTTTTAAAAACTTAATCATCACGGTTTATTCGGACCAAAACAAAAAATATTTATGTATTCCAAAATGTAATGTGTCCAACACATGACTTTCCTTTCTAGTTATTACAGGCTTTTCCGGTTATTTTGTACAACTTGTTGTATCACCCCTGTAAATATTTAGAGGATGAATTAAATGCATACACTTTCCTCGAAACATTTTTTCGGCAATGAAAATACTGAAAAATTAAATTTTTACACTCTTTCTCAAATTTTTCCATTACGGTCCATTTTAGAGAAATCTTGTATAATAAAAAAATTATAGAAAATGATATCGCAAAAAAATGGAGATAGTGGACGAAAATAAATTCTGCACTTCTCGTTTTCTGTAAGTAACACAATATTTCGATAAAATATAGTGAAGTGCAGAAAAATAAATAAATAAAAAACTAGCAGGTACCAATAATTTTTTCTTCGTTGTTTCGGAAAATTAACAAAACTAATCTAAAAAAATTTTCAAAATTCAAATTAGCATTGCGTGAAAATTTGACCCGTTTTCAGCAAGATAGGATTCCTCCTCAATATGAAGTTTTTATAAGAGCCTGAGTAGGTCAAATGTATCGGGGCATTGATTTAGTAGGAGAGGTATTACAAGCACGAATTTGTCTAGTGTCATTGGTTTTCATACAGCTCTTATCTATTTATTGCACTATAGTATTTTCCTGACATCATTCTCATTCTAAAGATAAAGAAAAATATAAACAGCACCTATAATAAATAATACATCATTGTATATCGACGAATTAGATCATAAACTAAAGACCTAAACTAAGTTCTAGTTTGAATAATAGTACATTTTTCTTGGAAGTCTAAATAAGCTCGCTTATCGGCTATTTAAAATTTATTTTTCTAATATATGAATTTTTTCTGTACTTATTTTTATGAATATATACAGTGTTTGTTTTTGAAAAATTAATATTTTTATTATTATTAAATACAAAGCATTTTTTCTGAGAAAATATCTTTGATGTTCATTCAATTATAACTGAGTCCGGTCCTGTCCGCATGAAACGAGGCTTTTCCTCCTGAAACAAACGCACGCCGTCGTTTCAGCGTTTCGTCGAGGAATTTAAGCAAGACTGTACATACTCACAACCTGGCGGCAGTTGTCCGCATTACAGTACATTTTCTTTCACCAAACGTACATTTTCATTCAGTTTTCCGTCAAATGTCGCCCGATATTCGACGAGGAAAAGTCGATTTTCCGCACAGTTTCCAACGATCCCGTGTAAATATTAGATGAAGTACAACGGGTCGGGCACTGACGTTGCGAGTTTAGTTTTTTACTTTCAATTCGATACGTGATGATGGATTTCCTTTCGTAGTGCCATTATTTTTATTTTATTTTTTTTTTTTTCGATTAGGGTGTTTTTGTTTTCTAGTTAGGCAAATGTCGCATTATGATAGGTTACAATAATTACAATAATCAGGGTTACAACAAGCTCTTCACTCAGGTGAGTACGTTTCGGGTGTACACCCTTTTGTTTACTATGCGCCCAAACCCAAACACGTTTTATCTAGCCCTTTGTATTTGTTTGTATATTTACAATTGTTTGGGGTACCAACCGATTGAGTTGGAACTCGATATAATAATATTCGCAAATGAAATTAAACATATTATAAAATAATAATAATTTTATTTAAATTTATATTATAGAAAAGAAGCTTTTTTAATTAATAAAACATCACTATTAAACAAATATTGATTTTACTTCTATGTTCTGTTAGGTATACTATTAATACAAGAATGTATAAAGACTGTTTTGAACAATATACTTAGGTATCGAAGACACGTAGTTACAATGTACACTGCTTTATAATTAAACTGGATAATTCTGATTGTGCTACTTATTATGTACAATGTATTATCTAAGTATTTATTTTTTAATAAGGTATTAAATTTAGTAAATTAAACAAAATTGACAAGTAACTGTTTCAGAAAGAAATGTATCTATCTGTACATATACCAATACCGTAACTGTACATGTATACGGTATATACTATAGTAGATACCTATTATAGTGATATAATTAAAAATAGGCAACATTTTACCAATTAATATTAATTGCATTAGATTTACTAATAACATTAATATATTATTTTGTATTTGACTACACATCAAAAGATTTAATATAAAATTGTAAATATTATTATTGTAAGCAACATTAAAGAAATAAACAAATCAAAAAAGTAATTTAAAAAATAAGCAAAATACAATAAATCAATTAATAAGTAATATAAGCACGCATACTCAAATACTAATAATTTATATATTAACAAAAATTTGTGTATTTATAGATTGTAGATTTGAAACAAAAGAGCCTAGCTATTTGGTTCCTACCGATAAATTCGTTCATTATTTATAGATCTAGCACGACTCATTACCTAGTTGGATTTTGTATAAATTTTCATTTGGCTGAATCTGGACAAAAATTTCAAATTTGACAGATAGATTTTCTCGATATAGCAAAAATAATGCCATATGGAAAACGTTATTAAAATCCAGACCCGGTATAAGATTTGGCATATCTGATAAGATATTTCAAAAGAACAGAAAAAATTGATTTAAATTAGGGTCTTCTTAAATTTTTAAGACATCATGTACAAGTAAATATACTCTATTATTTTTACCAAAGCAATAATAAAATTAAATGAAATGTAGATTTTTTTAAAACTAAAACAATTTCCCAAAATATGTATAGTTTTCTTGGACATTCTGTATCTACAATTATACAAAACTTGTCCGTTCCTTTAGATGTCCTTAATAACATACCAAAAAAAAAACAATCGTTCGAAGCCAAGAAACCCTTTGGTTTATCACTATGCAAATAAATACAAAGATTTAACTTCCCATCCACCATGCATCCACAACATGATACAAAAAATTACAGATGCATGATATATAATATGATATATAATATATAAAATTATTATTAGTGTTCTAAAATAGGAATTAGAAGAAACTTATGGTTAGAGGCACTTGAATGGACTAAAATGTTGGAAGTTGAACGAATATATTACATTTGTTCAATGCACTTCTTAGTGGACGGCTTTGCTGCAACAAATATATTTATAAGTTTGTTTTAGAAGCAATTAAATATTTATTATATTGTTTGACATGACAATAATGTCATATTTTGTTTTCAGTTCAATAAAAACGTACCTATCTTTTAAAACATTATTTTGTACTTTCTTAATCTATTTGCAGTCACAATTTTCACATTTAAAATAACCCAATGCAATCCGTTTACGTACGCTACTGCTGAAGATTCTAATATGAGCGAGAAAGCCTGCATTACAAAAAGAAACAATGATTTTATTAGAGCGGCATCAACATTGTATAGATTTATACAGGGTAGCCTATCTGTACATATATTATCTAAGGTCCATATACTTATTTCTAACCGTCATTTTAATAAATTTAAATTATAGTTAATCTTTTTTGTTGTCTATAATAGTACGAGGATGTATCAGAAAATAACGAGACTGGTGTTATAGTATAACAACGAAACATTTATTTAAAAAAATTCAACAACTATCCTTCGAAGTACTCTCCATTCTGTTGAATACACTTATCCCATCGCTTTATCCACTTATCATAAACTTCTGAGAAACCATTTTTTGATAGTCTGTTTAGTATACCCATCACAGCGTTGTTGAGCTCTAAATCCGACTCAAATCTTCTACCTCTCAATTCTTTTTTGACTTCAGGAAACAAATGGAAGTCTCATGGAGCAAGGTCAGGAGAGTAGGGGGGATGAACCATAATTTCAACCCCTAATTCTTCAATTGTTCGTTGACAAATCATTGATCTATGAGCCGGAGCATTGTCGTGATGCATCGTCCTGCAAAAGTCCTGATAAAGCGGCCTTTTTTTCTTTAATTTTGCCTTTAAGGGTCCTCGAAGTACATTAGAATAGTACTCCCCTGTTACTGTATGTCCTCTAGGTACAATGTGATCGTAAATAACGCCAAATTTATCAAAAAAAAATCAGGTGCATCACTTTACCAGCGCTTTTAGCAGTTTTGGCCTTCTGCGGTCTTGGGCTGCCTTTATGCTTCCATTGCATACTTTGAGACTTCAATTCAGGATCGTAATGATAAAACCAACTTTCGTCACATGTAACCACATTATTTAAAAACTGTGGGTTACGTTACAATTGCCTTTTCCACTGCTGACAAATTGTCACTCGATTCGCTTTTTGTTCATCGGTCATCTCTTTTGGAATCCATCTTGCCGCGATCTTCCGGTACTCTAAATTTTTTGAGTGGTACCGTAAGACAAATTAACATTGTCAGAAATTCGTTTTATGCCAATCCGGCGATCATTTTGTATCAACTCGTTAATTTCTGCAATTTTTGTGTCATTTCTCGCAGTTTGTGGTCGACCGGGACGAGGTTCATCTTCAACTGATTCACAACCGTCTTTAAACTTTTTATGCCACTCAAACACTCTACATCGTGATAAACTATTATCTAGATATGCACCTTTAATCATTTCAAAAGTTTCAGTTGGTGTTTTACCCAATCGAACACAAAATTTTATCGCGTATCTTTGCTCCACTTTCATTTTTCGATGGGTACGCAAAACACTGACAATTCAATAATTAATTTGTAACAAATGTCAAAAGTTAAATCAAAGCCTACTTGAGGGGTAGTACATTAAATATAAGGCTTTCATGTCTCATTTTTTGGGTTATAAAATGTTACCTCTGAAAGAAGTTATGGCACCAGTCTCGTTATATACTGATATATCCTCGTACATAATATTGAAGAAGCATTAGAAATTATAATGTTAGGTTTAGATGACGATTATATTAAATATTTAATATTAAAAAACTTCGAACGGATACGAATGTCGGCGAGCGCACCCGAAAGCTACAAAGTCGCCACTAACTGCTGTCCTTAAACATCCACAATTAAAGATAGGCACAATCTTTAATAAAGTCAGTTTTGGAACATAAACGATCTACGCATGCTTAGATGTCAAAATAGGAGCGGCACTAATAGTGACTGACCTTAAGTGAACTTGCAATAACTCTCTAATATTTTAATTATTAAAATAGCAAATATTATTGCACGAAATACAAGTTTTCTTTGCTGATACTTAAGTCATGCATCTTTAATCTCGTTATGGATCCAAGTTTTAGTACCATAGGTAGTTTTACCATACCTTTTCTTCTTATCTAAGTTTTCTTCTGTATTATTTTCTGTACTATTTCATGTACTATTTTCTGCACTATTTTCTGTACTTTTTTCTATACTATTTTCTGCACTATTTTCTGCACTATTTTCTGCACTATTTTCTGTACTTTTTTCTGTACTATTTCCTGTACTATTTCCTGTATTGTTTTCTGTACTATATATACTATATACTGTATTTTTTGTATTATTAAATGAGGAATTTTGATTTTTAATATCTACCATAATTTAACAGAAATGGTGCAGTCGTTAGTATTTTTAAAGTCATTTCCCTATAACCTAATTATCTGTAATTTATTATTTAGAATTAGGGCAATGAAGTAAAAAGATTTCTGTATATACTTATTTCCAAAACTTGGCTGATTCTATAGTGTATCCGGTCGGGTAATAAATATTATAAGTACATCTAGAAAACTGGGCTTACTCCCAACATTTGTTCAATAAAACATGTACGAATCCAATTCATTTTGCAGAAAATTTTTGTTTTCAAGTATAACTAAATTTCAAGAAGAAATAAAAATGTATTTTGAAATTTGTCTTATTTTAATTGCTTGTGTTTATGAAAAACAATAAAAATATAGCCAAAATATACTCTAGTTGTTGAAAAGAATCATATAGTACAAGGTATGCGTTAGGTATCTAGTAAATATACCATACAATTTAATTTTTATTTTTCGGAAGAGTAAGAAAGGTTTAAATTTCTCTATTTATGTTTTTATGCGTATGTTTATATTTCTAGTAAACAAGGAATAGGAACCTATTTTAAAATTGATTTATATTTTATGTATACACAGTTAAATACCTATTGGTGTCGATTATACTCATTTTATTTTTAGTTACACCAAATTGTATACTTATATTCAAAATATTTTCAGGTTTACGCCATCAAATAAAAATACAATTTTAGAAAAGATTTATATTCCTGAAAATATCGGTATTCGTATTAAATCCAATGCAGTTTCCTGGAATACTGGGAAATACTAGGTATTTATTTTTAGTAATAAAGATGATAGAAGAAACATTATTAAACAAAATAAAACTTGATCCAACATCTGAATAAATTAAATCAAATTTTTAATTATATTCTCAGAATTAGATAATAAATAACTATTTGCAGTCGTCGAATGTAATTTAATTGTAAATTTTGTTTCTAGATGAACGAATTTGTCCTTTCATCCATATTAAAAACACATTATAATTTTTCATTTTTTATTATTAGATTTGTTTCCAAGAGCTGTGTTTGTCAGTTGGA